CTGGTTCGTGTCCAAGAGATGGTGCAACCCGGTGTATTGGGATGTTATCATACATGACTTGTCTTAGAATAGTGTTCTACATCAGTAAAAATCCAAACAAAACTGCCTTAAATGAAAAAATTCCCTCCGTTTATATTTTTACTGCATTGTATTCCATAATATATACTACTGTTAACTTGGATTTTTCTTTCTTTTATATAATACCATCATTGAATTAACCACTTCTATGAATCCGGTGTTAATCTTGTTGTGCTAATGCGGTATGGCGACTTGGAACTCATATGTGCTTGGTCCTACGTTGTAGCTGACTGAACTTTGATTTTTGTTCTCTTCGTCGTTAGGAATCATACTCCTCTTCCTCCCACTCTGTTCACTATTTCGTTTTCTCATTTGTGCATAGCATATTTCTTTTGTTGCACATTTGTGATTATTAACACATGCCAAACACGCGGATACTACGAGGACTTACCTGTATATACATTCAGTTTGACTGCATAAAATGATGTATATCTTGACGATTTCGTTTATTCAAATATTTATATCATCAACTGGCTAATTTTTAACGGTACTAAGGCACGGTTGGTTGATACTTTACAATTTGCTCCGCCAATATTAGTGTACTATCAACTTTTATTTTGGTATGCAAGTCGTACATGGTTAGTTGGCAAAAATAAAATTAACATTCAATTGTTTATGACTAAAATGCTTTGGTTGGTTTTGCTGGTTTGATTTTAGGAAAACAATACTTCTGTTACATCCGTCCAGCCAAGTAACGTAAGTGCTAAACCATTGCAGACTACTACTCTACTGAAAAAGTGTAATGTAAATTTAAATCCTGTGGATCATACTACGTTAAAGGTACAAAATAAACCTGTTACAATGACCAAACAAACTCAACCGAACACCTGCCCAAAACCCCAGCCGGTTTCTAAACTCAATGTAGTCCAACAACCGAAACTGCAAAATGAAGAGAAAGAAACCATAACTCAAAAAGTGTCACTCATAAGCAGCCCACTTGTCAAGTAAGCTTTTCTCTCTCTCTCTCTCTCTCTCTCTATATATATATATATATATATATATATATATATAACGCTGTACAACTTATGTGAGGAAATTCATTATTCCTAATAAGTCGGCCGTCGATAAAAATTTCATGAAATTTCAGAAAACCTTGTATATGAGATGTAGTATCGGTAAAACATCTACTTGGAGGCCAAGCATACGATCGCTTTGTTTAATTATACACATGACATACGTAGATTTTTAAACAATTAATTGTTATTAAGTCACTCTTCTCAAACTATATTTTTGTTCATTTTAATATTTTATTTTTGTACAATTGTGTAGTACGATAACTCGGATTAATGCACTCGGTCATAACGATTGTAGAACATGGCGCATACATGCGTTAATACAGGTTGTCATACGAGATGAAATTATCAAAAAAATTCCAGAGTAGTATCGATAGTAGCAAAAACGATTAGATTTTGAAAAAAAAGCAACTAGGAAATTTTCGGGGCTCAAGTTTTAAGGGAAGACAACGAATGAATGGATTTACCACATTGCAGTCGATTCTGAGTCATACCATATATCTACCTCGTCAACTGGCTTGTCATCATTGCTTAGTACCCATGCCTGATTTCAGTGGTCTCAAAGGAAATAGGTAGTGCTCCGAAAGCACCTATAATTGAGCGCTAATAACTTACGAATGTCTTCTACTTTTAAAGGCCACTTTTCACATCCATAAATCAAAACGGTAAAGTTCTACGTAGTATACTTATCATCTGGTTAGTAGATAGGTATCTCGTCTACTCCCCAAGCAACGAAAGCTGACAAGAGCCTGCTGAGCTTTCTTGAACCATACCGAGATTTTGTCAAACACCAACTTACCGATGCTGATAAGACTTCTAAGATAAGTGAAGTAGTTAGTGCGCCCAACTACTTAGCTGCCTGTAGTTAGTCGACGTATTGATGCGGATCAGTCCGTAAGCAGTGTTTTGCATATGGGAGTGAAACGTAGGTCAGACATGATTACATTGTTAGTCAAGGCGATCAAAAGACTCGAGTTTGTTTATTTCAATGATTTTAATAAACCTAGTTGTCCTTACACTTAGGAATGATCTCTTTACCTCTCGTACTAGAAACTACTCAATTTTTAGTTGTGTTTATTTTAAAATTTTGCCGTTTAAATTCAAACCACAATGTAAATAGATTTTGACTGTCATATAACCAATATTTTTTCACATGATTTCAGTGGCTCTTTCGACATATCACAGCTGAATTCTGATTCGGAATCAGACGACGACGAGCCAACTATGAAAGTTCCTGGTTGGTGTCGTAAAGGTATTAGCCTACATTTTCCTGTTTTTTTATTATTAATAATTTGTTTTAATTACTCTGAAGCGGTTTTGCAGTGACCAATAAAGTCACCTCAATAATTAATAGGTCCTACCAGCCTAACCGGTTATAGGAAGTAGCACGATTATGTGTTAACCAAAGCTGTCACACTTCGCCCACATAAAAAGCCTCTGCAAATGTAGTAGTATTTTCAAGTGTGGTAAATAAATAAATTATTCACAAACTCTAAGACATTCATTACATAGCTAACTGATTAATACTGATCAGCTCCGTTGTCACTGAAAGTCACTTATCCCAACAAGCCTTATTAATCTTTCATGTAGTGTTGTGTGTGTTTATATATGATAAAATAGGACAATTATTAAACTAGGATACATATGAAATAATTATAAAAGAAACACTCATTTATTTTTGAAACAGAATAAGAAATACACAAATTTTCTATTTATAATTTAATGAAGAGTGGGAAAATAGTCAACTTATATAATCATTTTCAATTTCATTTAAGGAAACCCTGAAATGATAGCGGCAATGTCTGATGTTTACTCGAACAAACTAAAATGGCAAAATGAATTCCTACCTGCATCTATGATAACTTTTGATATTGGTGATGTATTCCGTAATTATCAGTATACCATTCGACCACGTACAAGCAGCGGTATATGGAATACTCCTCCTGGTGCTTCAAAGAGTTCTACTGGTCGTTCAATTATAAAGAAGATACTCTTATGAATACACACTAAGTTCTCAAAAACTTGTACATTCCCTTTTTATTAACATTTGTTTGTGTACTGTTATACCCCCTACTTCACTAACTTTGCTTTTATTACTTATATTAAATTATTGGATATATGTCTAGTTCCAATTATACATAATCCTTCCAGTTGTTAAAAAATTGACCTTATCCTATATTCATGTTAAGATTTGTTAAATACCTTATGTGAGTTATTTTCCTAATGATAGAACGGTATATGTGTAGTGTTACTGTGTTTTATCTTTGTATTCTTCTGGGTGTAAAAGTAAAACAATAGCTCGGATTTCAGATTTTAACGAAACGTTTATTAAGTATTTAGATAGGCAGGCTTCTGTAAAAAATCGTTGATAAATATATCCTGTCGACTACCCAGTAATGTTTGTCAACATTATCATGTTAACGAAGTGAAAGCTAGAGAAGGAATGCCTAATAGAGACAATTTCATTTAAGATCTCCAGGTATTAACGTTTAAGTCCATTACCGTATATCAGAATACAAATAGACTTTGGTCTACATAAAGTCATTCGGCAACAACGAAAGCTTTGAAAGTCTAAATAAGCAAGTTTTAGTGATGTAGATAATAAAAACGCTGGTATGACTACTTCAATATGAGTATAACAGTTAGTGTAAAATAACCCTACAATTTCATTCGCGTGCGACACTTATGACAGCTATTGTGTATTTCTAGTCTAAGATGCAGACTGTTGAGAAAAGCACACGGGATTCGTTCCGTCCTATTGATTTATAATATTTAGGCTACTAATATGATTATTTGGTTGCAATTTTTTTAGCTCAAAACTTATCAGTCTGATATGTTTCTCTCGGTTAATAGAAGCTGATTCCTGAAGCATTGGAAATCTGGCACAAGTGGGACCTTTAAACACTTAATATATAACAGTTGCATTATGAACAATTTTCACATCATAATACATTAATTCAATTCTTCAGTTGGTCGTTCGTCTCTATGTTTAGCTTATACAATGGTAATAGGCAGTTAGTGGGTAGGGCTGCTTAACTGACTGACCACAAGATTATCCGATGGGTACTACATAATATAAACGAGTGTGCATGCAGTCTCCAGTGTTCACTGAATTTGTCACCCGTCTGGTGATCAACATTCTCATGAGTGGACTTACAGATATAACTTCGCGTGTAGCTGATATAGCTTCAGATCACCACCTGATTGTGGCCAAAGAAGCACTGGACAGCTGGGAAAACAGCATTACAAAGGTTCAATACAGCCTTCCTTCGACATACTGACATTCAAAATAGCTCTCGGCAACAAGTTAAAAGATCTACTCAACGAAGAGGAGACCACTATGAAGGACAACTGGAAAGGGATCAACGCGTCAGGAGGTTGTGGGCCGCAAGAAGCATCATCATATAGAATGAATCTTTATGGAAACCCTGGACAGGACTCAAGAAAGAGGAAGAAGAATATAATTAACAGCAGTTGGACAAGAACAGAAAGGTTCAAGGCACAGACTGAATACGCAGGAGCGAACAAGAGAGTGAAGATCGTTAGAGCTGACAAGCAGAAATACTAAATTGTTTACATTACGCGAGTTATTATAACTCACTTCTTCCTAGAATAAACTACAAAATGCATCAAGACTTTATAAATTCTATTTTTCTAAGCATAGGGATAACTACAAAGAAATTATTAATCTCCAAGTTTTGTTTCCGCTGAAGATAAAACAAGTGATGAGCGAATTCCGATTTTTTTAAAGATGGCGTAAACAGAGAGTTCTCTGGATTCTAAGAAATGTGACCATGTTATAATTATGAGCGTTGGAATGAGTCAACTTCAATTTAGAAAATTTATTGGGTTAAGTTAATTAAAATGGTAAAAGTGTAAAATACTAATGTACTAGTCAAAAACATCTGATCAATTCAAGGATGCACGGTTAGTAGTAGTATACGGTGGTGTATTTATAAAATGCAATCCTGTATATCACGAATTTACTAAATATTAAAAACATATTTGAGAATTCAATGACTTGTCCTACTAGTCATCTTAGTATAAATTACAACGACGTATACTGGACTTTTATATTTACTTTTAATTATACATAAAAGTGGGATTCACTTGTCAAGACCACCTTTATATATCTGGCTTTGAATTGTGGAGATAGACTTAATAAACCTATTTTGTAAATAGTTTTTGATATCTTTTGCATTTATTTTACCAGTTCTCACAATCTGTACATTTATCATTAATCGATTGCACTTGTTGTTTAAGTATATGACCTTGAATACTTATATCCTTCTTTCCGTCTTTGAATCCCACATAGAATGACATTGTTAACTGCTCATAATCAAATCAACTTATTAACGAACTGAGTCATCCGTACGACAACAACTTATCTATGTCATTGTATCTTTATTATTGTTGCGAATGTATGAACATGTATGCTTGAGTATTGCTTACTGCCTACGCATTTATTCACGCTGCTAGCCTTACTACTAACCGCTCAATTGATTCGATGATTCATTCATTTCACTATGTATATTTATGTCCATGTTATTCATGTTCATTGCTCTCTCTCTCATTGAAGTTTAATCGCTTACTCGCACTCATGTTCGCTGAATCATTCGCTTGCCTGCTTGCCTTTCGGCACAACTCTTTCATGCTTGTTTTACGTACCTGTAATTTTTGGATGTGTGTGTGTGGTCCCATAATCAACACTTCGTATTCGCCTTCTGATTGATATACCGTTGGGGCGTTATCTAGTGACGGTTATCAAGACTAACTGTATACGAAGTTTAAGGATTATATGAAATACCGACCACCACAGAATCTCTCGAAGTTAAGGACAAGGTTGACTTGAATGCTAAAAACAATCTACACTGGAAAAAACCTGGGGAATTGATACTCTTAACACTACAGTCTTTACCTCATGATCGTACGAAATACTTCCCATATCATTTTAGACGTTCTGAACACTAAATAATTGTATCTCTACTTCAATATTTACGTGACATTAGATATTAGACATTCAGTTTTGACTCAAACGCAAAAATTCAAGTCTTTATCTCAATACTGATTGGTTCATCCATGTATGGTACAATAAATACTTTTACAGAACAAGTAATTGAACCTAACTATTTTCAACTTTCAGAGTAAATATCGCTATTGTTCAATTTAGTTTCAATATACAATACAATAAAAACGTACTTAGCGTAATAGTTAACAAAAATGGAGTGCATATACGTGGTTGAGGTTCACATGTATAATAATCTGATATATTTTTAGGGTAGACGTTTGTTTTAATTTTGCTCCTAAATTCTTCCACAACTTCATCCGGTCCACGTCGATATGATTTATATGTTCTGGATTTCCGGTGTCGCATATATAAATTACGTGCATGTTGAAATTTAGCATCAAAGTTTGCCGATTTCTACATTTTAGGGAAGATATAAAAAAGTTGAAGAGTTTAGTGCAAGGCTTTTTCTATAAATGATATTAGCTAGTAAAAACAATAGACAATAAATGATTTCATATATCGATATATAATTTACAGAAAACGTAAACGTTTCCAAAAAGATATTCGTGCAGTAACACCTTGGAATTACTTACTTACTTACTTACTTACACCTGTTACTCCTCGTGAAGGAGCATAGGTCGCTCACCAGCATTCTCCATCCAACCCTGTCCTGGGCAATCCTTTCCAGCTCCTTCCAGTTGTAATTCATCCTTTTCATATCTGCTTCTATTATCCGACGTAATGTGTTCTTTGGCCTTCCTCTTTTCCGCTTCACTTCAGGATTCCAAGTTAGAGCTTGCCTCGTGATGCAGTTTGACGGTTTGCGTAATGTATGTCCTATCCATTTCCATCGTCTTTTCATAATTTCCTCTTCAGCTGGAAGTTGGTTTGTTCTCTCCCACAGAAGGCTATTGCTGATGGTATCCGGCCAATGGATGTTGAATATCTTGCGTAGACAGCTATTTATAAATACTTGTACCTTCTTGATTGTGGTTGTTGTAGTTCTCCAAGTTTCAGCTCCATACAGTAGAATTGCCTTGACGTTCGTATTGAAGATTCTCACTTTGATATTGGTTGAAAGTCCTTTTGAGTTCCATATGTTCTTCAATTGTAGGGATGCGACCCTTGCTTTTCCGATCCTCGCCTTTGCGTCTGCATCGGATCCTTCTTGTTCATCGATGATGCTTCCCAGGTATGTGAAGGATTCTACATATTCCAGAGTTTCGCCATCAAGTGTGATTGGATTGCTGTTCTCCGCTTTGAATTTGAGGACCTTAGTTTTCCCTTTGTGTATGCTGAGGACTACTGATGCAGAGACTGCTGCTACACTGGCTGTCTTTATCTGCATCTGTTCGTATGTACGTGATAGGAGGGCTAGGTCATCTGCGAAGTCCAGATCGTCTAATTGGTTCTGAGCTGTCCATTGTATTCCGTGTTTTCCTTCAGATGTCGAGGTCTTCATAATCGAGTCGACCACCAGAAGAAAGAGGAAGGGAGAGAGTAAACAGCCTTGTCTGACTCCGGTCCTTACTTGGAATGCATCCGTCAGCTGTCCTCCATGCACTACTTTGCACTGTAGTCCGTCGTATGAGTTCCGGATAATATTGACAATCTTCTCAGGAACTCCGTAGTGTCGAAGAAGTTTCCATAACGTTCTCCTATCTACATTGTCAAATGTGTTTTCATAATCAATGAAGTTGATTTATAGTGATGAGTTCCACTCAACTGGTTGTTCAACGATGATCCGTGGTGTTGCAATTTGGTCTGTGCACGATCGATCCTCACGGAATCCAGCTTGTTGATCTCGAAGTTGGGCGTTTACTGCGTCTTTCATCCAGTTCAGCAACACTCTGTTGAAGACTTTCCCTGGTATTGACAGTAGTGTAATGCCTCTGTAGTTTTCACATTTGCTCAGATCTCCTTTCTTTGGAATCTTGATGAGGTGTCCTTCTTTCCAGTCCATTGGCACTTGTTCCTCCTCCCAAATCTTTTTGAATAGAGGGTAAAGCATGCTTGTGGTTACTTCGACGTCTGATTTCAGTGCTTCAGCTGGTATGTTGTCGGGTCCTGCTGCTTTCCCGTTCTTGATTTGTCTGATGGCCATTCTAATTTCTTCCGTCGTTGGTGGGTTGACATCTATAGGAAGATCTATGTGTGCTGCTTCGATGTTCGGTGGATTCATTGGAGCCGGCCTATTCAGGAGTTCCTCGAAGTATTCTACCCATCTGTTTCGCTGTTGTTGAATTTCAGTGATTGGCTTGCCTTCTTTGTCTTTGACCGGCCTCTCTGGTTTACTGTATTTCCCTGATAGTTTCTTCGTTGTATCGTAGAGCTGTTTCATATTTCCTTCTCTAGCAGCTTTTTCTGCCGTCGTTGCTAGTTCTTCCACGTATTCCTTCCTGTCGGCTCTAATGCTCCTCTTCACTTGCTTGTTTGCTTCTATGTATCCAGGTTGTGCTTGGACTTTCTCTGCTCGTGTTCGGCTGTTGTTAATTGCTGTCTTCTTGTTCTTCCTTTCTTTGATCTTGTCCAGTGTTTCTATAGAGATCCATTCCTTATGATGGTGTTTGTTTAGGCCCAGAACCTCTTGACACGTTGAAGTCAATGTTTCTTTGATGCCTTTCCAGTTGTCTTCCATGGTAGTTTCTTCTTCCTTCAGTAGATCTTGAAAGGCTTGGAACCTGTTGTTGAGAGCTATCTTGAATGGTGGAGAAGATTTGTAGCTCAGGTGGATGATTTTGATGGAGTTTTGTTCTCTGAGCTGGATGGTTTGGTCGTGGAGCTTTCATCGTTCTTCTGAACGACATCATCAGCACAAACTTCAGATAGAAGTGAAGTGTTCGATTTTCTCCTTATGTGTTTCACAGCTTGTTCTGTGCACCTCGATGTTGATTGGTTCTTGTTGACCTTAAATTTATCATTGTTCACTTCTTTGTTTTGGTTGTGTCTCCCATTGTTTTGATTTTTGTTCTTATATATATGCATGATTTTCCTGATTGGTTCATAAATTGGATTGATTTCAATATGTTTGTTGATTGCTGATTGACCTGAGTGCCAGGCTTCTAGAAATTCTCTGGTGTTTTTGGAGTTTCCTCTGTCTAAGATTTCTACATTTTCCCAATCGAATGAGTGTCCGTAGTTATCCACGTGTATTGAAATAAGTGAAGAGATATCATGGCGTTTGACTGCTAATTGATGTCCATGTAGGCGTAGGTGGAGGGGACGTCCGCTTTGTCCGATGTAGTGTTTGTCGCAGTTGGTACAATTTATTTTGTAGATAATGTTTGATTTGTTCTCCTTTGTTATTTCATCTTTTGGTTTGCATAAGATTGATTGTAGTGATTTTGTTGGTTTGTGTGCCACACCTATCCCGAAGGTTTTCAGCAATCTCGTTGCAGTTTCTGATATTCCTTGCATGTACGGTAGGGTGATCCTTTTACTGATGATGTCGTTCAGAAGAACGATGAAAGCTCCACGACCAAACCATCCAGCTCAGAGAACAAAACTCCATCAAAAAGCTATCTTGAATTCATTGAGTTTGTCAGTATCTCGAAGGAAGGCAGTATTGAACCTTTGTAGTGCTGTTTGTCCAGTTGTCCAGTTCTTTTTTAGCTTCAGTTTTAAATTGGCTACAACTAGGTGGTGATCTGAAGCTACGTCAGCTCCTCTCCTGGTTCTCACATCTTCCATTGTCCTTCGGAATTTTTTGTTGATGCAAATATGGTCTATCTGGTTCTCTGTAGTGTGGTCCGGTGAGATCCATGTAGCCTTGTGTATACGTTTGTGTGGAAATATTGTGCCTCCTATGACTAATTTGTTGAATGCACACAAATTTGCAAATCTTTCTCCATTTTCGTTCCTCTCTCCCAGTCCATGTCGTCCCATAATATCTTCATATCCAGTGTTTTCTATTCCGACCTTGGCATTTAGATCTCCCATCAGAATGGTGAGGTCCTTTCTTGAACATTTCTCTATGATTGACTGCAGCCGCTCGTAGAATTGATCTTTAATGTCGTCGTTGCTATCATTGGTGGGTGCATAACATTGGATAATATTCATTAATATCCCCCCTTCTTTGTTTTGAATGATGCTTTGATGTTATAACGTGAAAAATGAATGCTGCTGATTGAGGGTAGCGAATTATTGATCGGACCAAAGACGCACAAACACGTAGAACGACCTAGGGTTCTGATTGGTCTCGCTTCCCTGTATAGCCCAGCCAATTGAGTCCAGAACACAAGTTTCAGCCTCGGATATATGAATCATTATATTTCAAACATGCTTTGTTTATATACCAGTCAAGCAGTCCACAACGTACCATAAAATAGAAAATAACATTGTACAATAATGACCAGTAGGAAAATGACACGTTAAATAAATATTGACCAATAAGATGATACCATTTCATGTCCAAGGATAGCATTAGCCTTAACAGGATAATTTTTGGGATATTTTCCTGAATATCCCAACATTTGATGATTCTGGATCCGTGGGATTCCCATCCTACAAGTGCATTTCGTGCTACTTTGGACAGCATAAGAGCGACTCCCTGAGTGTGTGGAGCATTTTCCTCTTCGTGACCAGAGTATAGCAGCATCTCTCCCGTAGCTAGCCTTTTCTGTCCAGCTTGGGTCCAATGGGTTTCGCTGATTCCCAGTACTGCCAAGTTGTATCTCCTCATTTCCGTTGCTATTTCACTGGTCTTCTCCGTCTCCCACATTGTTCGAACGTTCCATGTACCTATAAAAATTTTTGCTCTGGTTGTTAGAAGGGGCATCGGCCTCGTGGCTTCCGAAGGAACTCGGCTTTCACCATGAAGCGTCATAATTCTTCTAAATGAAGACCTTCTAACTCTCAGGGCAGAGTTAAAGTGGTTTGAATTATTTTTTCTGGTAAGCGTTTTTTTAGCGAGTTAGTTTTCTACGGGATGGGGACGCTAACCCCATGCCCAACCCTCCTCCTTTACCCGGGCTTGGGACCGGCAGTAACTCTAGAAGAGCTACAGGCGGAGTTCTGTTAGTATAGTTCAGCGACAACGTCCTAGATTATGAAACTAAATAAAGTGGGTCCGAATTCACCAGAAAGCATCAGTCTCCTCAAGATTGTATGTATCACTTACTGAAAACAGCCAACTCTCACGACACTTATGTCCAGGAACTTCGTGATTATTAACCCCAACTACATAACAAATCAAATATTTTGTTAAGTGTCACATTTCTTTACTTCATGACATGGTAGTATTTTGATTTGAAAATGTGTTGCAAATAGGAAGAAAAACATTTCTTAGTGTTCAGATTGACTAGATTGTATTACCAACCGATATAAACACTTTAAAACAATATGTGTACATCAATACTACATCTTACACACAAACAGAACAGTTTATCATCCGTAACTCCTTGTCATTAGTGAAACAAACCCATTCTAAATTATCTCTCTATATGAATTACTTTACCTGTAAATTTCCCAGACTCTGGAATAATCTACCACAATCTATCCGTAAGATAAAATCACTCCCATCCTTTGTTCGCTGCTCCTCTGAAAGTGCACTAAATGTTCTAACACCTGTAAGTTTATCTTATTTCACAAGTGAAATCATAGGAACTTTAAATGTTTAACCATTCTTGTTACTGAGTTGACTAAATAAAACCATCTAGTTACTGTTACTTTATGTTAACACCGTCTCTGGTAACCCTAGCTTTAGATCAGAAAATAACCTGACATATGTATTATGGTAGACCTAACTAACCTATCGTAATAATTATTGCCGTTTTTGTTGCGTGCTCTCCGCTTCTACTTTATTTCCTATAGTTACAGATGGTTATAATCAATCCGTTATGGTGCAGAAAATGACCTGAAATGTACCCTCCATACATCAACAGTTGTCCACCTAGGAATTGAAAGTTCTCGGTCGATGCATTTCACTGATGTAATACATGTCATAAATGTACTACCTAAAGAATTTTTGAACTAGTAAACTTAAGACATTATTATACCACATGTTTGTTCTCTGTATTTAATGTTACTATTTATATCAAGCTGAACATGTCTGTAAACTGGCATATATATATATATATATATATGATCTTCAGTTCACTAATTCTCAATTAAAAACTGATTTAAAGTATTCAACAACAAAATGAACGCAAACCTAACAAAATTTACACACAAGATAAACTAATCGAAGCCTAATAGGAAATTTCATTGAGCTGACTGAAATATAGATACGGTGAATTTCATTTGGATAAAGCAGAAACTTGTCAAGTGTGAGATAAATACCACCGATGGTAATGGACGATAGTTGTGTAATATCATGGATTGATCGTGGTTATAAATGTAAACCACTGGATTTCAACCGAGTGACTTGAAGGTTGAGCACTCATAGTAAGGCTGCAAGACCTTGAGGTTCGACCACTCGGTGGGTGTGCTACTGAGGAGTCCCAGGACGGGACGAAACGGTCCTTTAGTGATTGCTTAGCAAAATTAATTGTGATTTGAAAATTAAAATCCAACAACTTCCGTAACACCCTATTGTGAGGAAAGGAAATAAATTTCAATCTCTAAGACTTACATCGATTTTATCTGTTTGGACCAAGCAATTACTTGCTAAATATCGATCATACTGTGATCGAGTTTCCTGATCACGAAGTAATTCATAGGCAGCCGTGACTAATTGAAATTCTTCCATCCTCAATTTCTCCGGATTAGTATGAAGTAATCGGTCTGGATGTAAGCATTTCGACAAATCATAATAAGCAGATTTAATTTCGCTAAAAGTTGCAGATTGTTTTACACCTAATATATCATAAGCATTATATTTCTCCAATGGAAAATTGGATAGTGAATTGCATTGACATAATCGAAGAAATACAGGACGTAATAATATGTGGCAGTTGAATGATAAAATTTTGACGATAATTGCAGTGTTGAAAATTATATAAACATAGATATAACTGTCTTAAAAACAACTTTTATCATACAAAATTGTTAATCACCTCTTTATCTAGAAATATTAAAAAGATTAAACCAAAATTACAATTCCAAATATAACCATGAAGTGTTAGTAAGCGACATCACCAAACACAGTAATATGATACTAGGAAACATGAATAAAATCCATACTCATCTAGTATATTCTACGACTTATTTTTTAGCAATAACTACGTATACTTACTTACCAAGCAGGATTTTTATGCAAACTGTTTCATATCAGTTTATTTGTGATCTATTAATACTAACCGCATAGCCAAACCAAGCAAAGTAGAAGGGAACAAACAGAAATAAAATTCTCTCGAATCGTTCACAAGCCTAAAACCCTTCAGATCTCGGATAGTTAAAGTGCTGAGAATAGCCGGGTATGAATCACAAAGATAGTAAAAATATACGATGCCACTGGAAATATAAAACAAACTCAATTGCTTGGATGTTGATAATCGTTAATTTAAGCTCTAGTTTATACAATCAAAAAAAATAACTGGCAATTTTAAAGTACTTTCAGCAGTTGTAATGAAATTTGAGTTGAGGAGGACTGTGAACTTCTATTTAACAAACCCATTCAATCAACGTCAATTTAAAAGAAAAGACCCATTTGTGTAAATAACTTGTTCACTATGTGATTAAGCAATAACAGAGTCGCTGGTCAACTGTGAGAACCGATAGTATTTACTTTAACATTTTAAACAGAGGTGACTGTGAAGGTAGATGAAAACAACTAATTGGGCGGTCAGACTAATTTTCTATTTTAGGGGCACTTCAAAATCATATCGCTTTAACTTCTCTTACAAACGCTGAGTGTGAACGAAATATCTTTAAACTGTTAGGGATGCGGAGGAATGTACCAATAATTATCATGTTAAGTCTAATGGTGTCCCTGAACTTTAAATGGACATTCCCTATTGGTCAATATTTGTTTCACTTGTTAAATATTGTTTTCTATTTTATGGTACGATGTGGTTTGTCTGATTGGTATATAAACAGAGTATGTCTGAAATATAGTGATTCATATCTCAGAGGCTGTGACTTGTGTTCTGGACTCAACTGGCTGGGCTAGACAGGGAAGCAGGACTCTAGGCCGTTTGTGCGTGTTTTATGTGTCACTGATTCGATCTATAATACACTGCTCTCTAATCTTTTCAGTCAAGGACACAACAATTGGCACGGGGTAAAAATCGACCCAAGTTCAAGTCACAACACAAACATAGAAATGAGATTGTTTTTAAAGGTGATAATGGTAATACCTAACACTTAAATTGTAGCTATTTTTGTCTCTTTCTAACAAATACCAGGAAATCAAATATTCATTAATCCTATACATGTTATTAGGTGACTTATTTTAATGAACACATTTGCTAATAAGCAACTGACGCGAGTCTGTTAAAATTCCCAGTTTCTAAATTTTCTGGAAACCTTTAGTTTTGGACCATCAGTACGAATTTGTCAAAGGATTATCCTAAAGCAATGCTTTCCTCCCTGAACAAAATATATATGCAATTGGTCTCTTAGTTTCAACTTGCTAGAATTTTGATACTACTTGAGTGGAGATAAAATATGAGGCCAAATTTAAGTGATAAGAAGCTACAGTATCCTCTATACAACTCGCAACTACCAAAGGTTTCTTGGAAACAAATAAGTGTTGTATGACCTTATAGGTTATTTAGAAGTCATGTTCCTAGAGAGAAAGAGGTCAATATGCAGTAACTTCTACTGTTTAAGAAACTCGATGAAAAGATAGGAGCGCTTCGGGAGAAGAATAGACCACACGGCGTGGGAAGTCCCATGTGCTTACACATGCTGATTCAAACATCAATAGCTTAGATGGTGGACGGTGGCGCGATTTCGTGGATTGACTGAAGTTAGACATTAACACCGTTGGATGCCAGCTCAGTAGTCTAGAGGGTGGGTGTCCGCGCGCAAAATCGAGAGTCCTGGGTTCGAATCCCGCGGGCAGGATCGTGGATGCACACTGCTGAGGAGTGCTGTACTAAGACGAAACGACCGTCGAGTGCTTCCAGCTTTTCCATGGTGGTCTAGCTTTAATCGACTCATGAATTCAAATATTAAATAATAAAAATATGTTTATTATTAGTCGTTTCTGTTATAAATTTAAAAGTAAATATGAGTAAATTTTGATAGTCGAGATATATTTAGCATCAAAATAGTTGGATAATTGTAATGTTCAACATCAAAATAATTGAAGATAAATCCGAATTATAAGAAATGACTGGATATATAGGTGGCCAATTTTCGTTGAAAGTTAGTTATGGGTGGTATAGATGAAAATATCCAAATATTGATTTGTTAATTAACAGTTGCAATGGATAAACAACATGACAAACAATATACTTTAGGTAAACGTATCTTACTTTTTAGTCTGACTTCTGGAAACTAAACATTCTATAAAAATAAACCCAATCATACTGAATGTCATATTGCTCAATTTCCTACTCTTCTCCTTCTTGTAAAGATAGCAGTCATTCTCTCAGAAATGTGAACCAATAGCTTAATGAGTACTTGATTTTCAACAACAAGGTCAGAAACTCAAATCCTAGTAGTCCATCTACTTCGTAAATTTGTTGGTGTAGTAATCAAGAGACATTATTATAATCCCAATTCCTAGTTGACAGATTTATTTAACAGATACATTTTGTGTATTAAATAAACAATGTGAAAAATAACTAATTATTAAGAGTATTGTTACATGAATCTACTGGATTTAAATTCAATGTAAAGAATAAGGGCATCAATAAATGATAAGTAAATGAAGCTAATAAAACAAATCAAGCTAACTACAAAACAGAACATAAGTAAAACATATTTTGCCAATGTATTTTTATTATACAAAATTGTAATGCGAATAATACAATACAGACTGAACTATCAAACATACAATTCTTGAATAATAGTTATGTAATACAGAAGGGTAGAATTACAGTATATATATATTATCCAGCTGTACAATCGTATATATATAAACATTTTTTTGTTAAAGTACTAGTTCCGTGAGGAAATGTATACATATTTACAATAAATAATATATGAACAATGAGCAAATATTAACCAAATGATTTGCCAATCACAACAGTATGATCAACACCACATACTACATCTTTAGATTTAATTGGAAGAAGTAATGGAACTGGGTAGGTTTGATTAACAGAATTACTTGTAATTTGTTTACCTAAGCCTAGACAATATAAACCACCACGTGGAGCACCCCAGGCCCATAATAAACCATCATTACTTTGGGCAATAAAATGATGTAGACCAGCAGCAACATAATTAATACAAGATTCACTATTTACGATAGCTGGTATAAATAAACCTGGTGGAATCAATGTTGGACGAGGTGAACAAGTAACCTTTGGACCTAATCCAATACATCCAAAGCCCCAAACGAATACCTTGATTAGATATAAATACATATAAGAAATAAAATGTTTGAAGTACAATGCATTATTTTTTTTTAGTGATAAGAGCATAATTTTCAAAAAAATTTAAGTTAAATGAAAAATAATAGTATTAAACAAGATGTGGAAATTTATGGAGACTTGCTCAACTTGAAGAGAGTTCTAATGATGAACAGATATGTCATTAGTTGGCGAATAACTGAAAACCAAGCAGTGGCAAAAAGTTATTTCTTTCGATTGCACTAATCTCCCAAAACCCGCTTTAGTAATAATACTGTCTATATGTTTGTTAGAGAAACCAGTTTTGTGGATAACTCTCGAAGATCTAGTGATAAAGCTTCATAATTGTGGATCAGTCACGTTCAAAATGATATATCAAACAAACTATGGTTTTACCGTAAACCTATAATCAATCACATTATTTCTCATATAAAATACTTCGTAGATATACGCAAACAAGAGACAGGAAGGAGATCAAGATCATAAATACAAAGAATTTAATCTAAACCAAGTTGGAAATGTATAAGCCTCCATGAACGATAATCCTTCACAAAAATGGGGGGTTGAATACGTAAACAAATGAAAATGAGAAACTTGAAACCCATTCTCCAGTGAATCAGAACATATATTTCTAATATATATGTATCGAGAAATCAGTTTATGGTATTTTTATATATTTCTGAATTGTAAACTATTTAAAACAATAACTGTTACGGTTCGTAAATTCAAGTAAACTAATTGAGTTTGAATGATACAGAAAAGAGTGAAGTACTTTTCTAGTCTTCCTGACTGGTAGTTTGGGATTCTATGTAGGTAATACACTATTTCGGGATATACAGAAAATGTTAATGGTAAACTTATTGTATTCAGTGGGAAAGAGAAGAAATGCATAACAGAATATAGTTGAGAATGTAAAGCATTAGCTTTAAAATCAATGATTTGTAGCTATTGTGTAAGTAATAACATCTGAAGCTTTTGAAGTCGGTTTCATATATGGTCGTGAGTGAGCACTGTCAAATCTAGGAACTAGAGCGAAACAACTGTCTAGTGATTCCTTCTCTAGTCAACGTAATTTCGTGATGTGAATTGTTTTTAAAGATATCTCTTACACTTTTAAACGACGTTTGTGGGGTTGTAGGCAAAGATATGAAAAAAGGAACTCAGTAGTCTAATCAACGCAATGATATTAACAAAGCGTAGAAGTCAATAGAGCCATAGTCATTTTTAAGAAATTATAAATTACATGGCACTGGATCCTAAGTTTATGTTATCTCCCGTTTTAATTAATATCTTTTTATCGGTGATAAAAAGATAAGTACATATGCATGGTAAAATGTTCATATTTTAACACCGCAATAAAGGTACTAGACTAATTTACCATTAACTCAGCATTTCATTGAAAATCTATCGAGCTACTGGGCTGATTATAATGTAGGTTACTTGGTTATGAAACACACTGCATGACAACTAATGAAACTACCTGGTTACTTAAAACAAGTGAAGGGCTTCAACCGGCGACTCATTACTTAAAAGGTAGGCGCTTTATAACCACTAAACCATCGCTCAACACTAACTGGTCAGTCCCCTTGTATTACAAACAGGTGGCACTTTTCAATGGCAACCATCACTTACATTGAGGTTGTAGGTACACCATATTTGAGACTTACCATGTTGAGATTTTCAATGGAGCTGTGTATCAGAAACCATCAGATCTAGTCATTATATTAATGGACAATGATAACCATCCAGTCCAACCATAATAGAACTAATGATACACTCGTAATATCCCAAATATAGATATTAGTTTGAAGACAGCCCTTTTAGTAAGGTACAGCTCTGACTATTCTATACTTGGTGCTATAGACCTCTCTTCTTACGGTTATGACCCCAGCTATTCCTATTGCTTAGTATTCTCGGACACCGATTCACTCGACAAGTTCCCAAATCAGAACACGGTTGAACAGGAAAGAGATTATATTCCAAATAACAAGGTTAGATGGAAGTAAGAAGCCAGTAAGAACCACAATAGAGAAAACGTCAGTATATTTATAGTTTTACATGAGAAGATTCTAGAGTATTCTCCAACTATCGACCAGTGCTGATTGGATAAGAATTAGCCAATCAGCGTGCACCAAAGCAATCGTGCATTGAGCATGCTTTAATCCAGTCTATGTCCCGCTAACACTTAGTCAGTCAGCACTTAAGTTAAAATCAAGCATTGACTTTTCCAACCAACTAGCGCTACTGAACGAATTGAGGATAGGCTAGAAAATTTCTATGCAAACTTGAATGTTTCTAAAAGTGGGTCTTTTTAAGTTTATTGGAACAAACTATTATCTCTTCTCAATTCTTGTTCTGATTCAAAAAAGTTCAGAGAAGTATACAGGTCAAGGAATACTAAGTTGTAAAAGAATATAATAAGCTTCATTTTCTAGATTGTTTCCTTATTAATTATCTTATATCGAATATTCTACAATTATTGATATCAATATGATTTGAAATGAAAAACCAAATTAAATTAAAATACAATTTTTAATTAACCTATAAAATAATTAAATTTACCTGTCCAATTTTATTAACAATACAACACATAGAACCGGCACAAGCAATTGATTGTATTTCACCTACATGAACATTATCCGAAGATAAATTAGATTCTACTGGTACAATACAATGATCTAAATTTAAGTGAACAGGTTCTGAAACTTGTACATCTTGATCTAATGGCCATATTTGACCGTATTCATTATTACCCCAAGCAAATAATTTATTTGATTCAGTAAGAGCAAGAACAGTATCACCGCGAGACGATAGCAAACTTTTTTTAAAAAAAAGAACAATTCAAAACAATTGTTACTGTTAACTCGGTATAAAAATGTCAGAAATGTTAACTGTTAAACAATGTCATACAATTTTCTAAGATTATCAGTAATATCAATCATAGAATTTAGGACAGGATTAACTAGAACGTAAGAGATACCAGCAAATGAAATAAAACTGAAATAATAATAAAATAATTAGGAGTCAAATATGAATAATTAGAAGATTTAAAGCTCAATAAGTTCGAGAGATTTCAATAATAGAATCAGATCCAAAAAGATCCTTATAACTTGTAGTAAAGTGAAACAGTATAACCACTTATTAAAAGATACAATTTTATCTGATGTCAATGTTTAAAAAATGGTTGGTTGGATGGTTTAAAATATTTTTCCCTCTGCAGTATACTACGTTACGCTAGATTGATATTTGAACGGTAAACAATACAGAGAATAGATCACGTTATATCAGATACACAACTCACAACCAAAAGTAGAGAACTAGAATAACGAAAGATATTAATTTACTCCACACCGTTCCAAGTAGTCAATCTCAGTGAGTTCAGATCAGAAATCAATAAGAGGAAAGGAAAATACATATTTGAGTCAGTAAGTTGGCTACATGTTTGTCCACACTCAATGGCCAATTGCGTTTTACTCTCACTACAACACATTAAAAAGAATCAACAAAAGGGTCTCAGTAAATTACCAGACTAGTGGCTAGCTTGTACTACAAAACAAATCACAGCAATGAACTTGAATTTATTCAGTAAACATGAGATTATAGAGTTTTCAAGGTTTTTTCTCATGATTTCATCTGAAGCTGTTCTTCTATAAAATGATTTGCTCATAATTATAGCACGAGCTTTTGCGTTACGTTCTGAATCAAAATGTATGCATGAGGACTAATGACATTATCCATCCGCCCGAACCGAAGTAGATGGAACAGAATTTGAATTTACAACCACTTGGTTGGAAGCTGAATTATATTTATTTATTTATTTGAACACATAAATATTGGTACAAGGGGGCACCAGATATATATGCGCCACACAAAACAATGAAAATGGGAAGAGAAAAAGAATGTAAAATGGGTATAAGAAAAAAAAGAGAATAATGAACACAGATTAGTGTATGGTTGTGCAATAATAATAATAATAATAATAATAATAATAATAATAATAATAATAATAATAATAATAATAATGGGGGGAACGGGAAAGTACAATCAGAAGAAATCTTTCAGTTAAGGAAGAAACAACCACGTTTTATGAAGAAAGTAAAAGAAGGTTACAGCACGATCGCCACTGGCTTCTATTCTGAGCCATATCTGATAAAGTCCCTAGCCACTGTGTTACATCATCTCTCGGACCCCAGCCAGGGAGTCGTGAAGGACCAACACAGGCCAGTCCTTTGCAGCTTTCTTTCATACCACGACATTTCATACACTGACCACCTCTCCGCTTTTTCCAATCAATCCCAGAGTCGGCAAATAATCCACGACGTGGAATTCTCTGGAACGACATTCGTAGAACATGTCCGAACCACCGAAGTCGGTGTTTCAAGATGGTGACACCAATTGCATTATCGTCTCTGCACCCGAACACACGATGCCGAACCCCTGCATTACTAACATGGTGTTGCCACTGGATGTCAGCAATCCTTCGAAGACAACGATGATCGGACACAGAGAGTCGTCTAACATCCTCAACTCGGAGAGGCCAGGTTCCACAAGCATAGAGCAAAACTGCTCTCACCGACGCGTTGTAGATCCGACCTTTTACAGGCAGACCGGCATCACGAAGGCGCCAAAGATAGCCCAGATTGGCATAAGCCGCTCTGGTTTTCACTGTACGTGCATTGATCTCATCACTCACGCCACCACCAGCACTTATGCAGCTACCTAGATACACGAACTTGGTGAGATTGGGCAACCCTGCCTAACCTCACTGCTCGAATGGAACAATGGAGAGAGGTGGTTGTATGCCCTCACTCTGCCTGAGGTGTTTGTATATAGGGCTTTTAGGATGTTAATAAACTCAGGCACACCCTTCTTCAATAGATAATCCCAGAGAACAGTCCTGTCCAACAAATCGAAGGCAGCCATGATATCAAGAAATACTACAATTGTTGGTTTTTGATAAGTATGAAGGTGTTCTAACATTTGGCGGAGGGTGAAGATATGATCAATACATCCTTGACCAGAACGAAATCCAGTCTGCTTCTCGCAAGTCAATCTTTCTCGAGTTTTGAACCCACGAAGTATGATGGAAGCCAATAGCTTGGACACAATCGGAAGTAGACTTATCCCTCGATAGTTGTTACAGGAACGACGTGAACCCTTTTTAAAGATAGGGACAACTATCGACTCATTCCATGACGTTGGTAAACTCTCTAGTTCTCAGACCTTTGTAAACAACACAGTCAGTTCCTTAACCAGAAAGTCACCACCATCTTTAAAAAGAACCGAAAGTAAATCATCTGGGTCAGGTAATTTGTAGCGCTTCAAGAGTTGGAGTTCCTTGCGGACTTCCGCCTCATTTGGTGGATCAGTCGTCACCGGCCATGGAGGGCAGGACAGTCTGACCGATGTTGCCGGAGCAGCAGGCCAGCTGAACTGCCCTTCGAATAGTTCTGCCCATCGTCTATGACGTCGATGGATGTAAGTGATTGGCATCCCATCATCCTCGTAGATTGTTTCGCTCACACCAGACTTCTTGCTGCCAGTGGCTCAGATGAATTGGAAGAGCTTCCGGTAGTTACCAGATGCAGCTGCTGCTTCCAGCTCATTAGCACGCTCCGACCACCAGGCTTCTCGGTCCTTACGCAAGCTTTGCCCGATTTCATTACGTAACAGCTTTCGTTTGTGGTCAAACTCACGGTCACCCGGAGTAGACCGACGGGCTTCAATGAGTTCTAAGGAACCTGCAGAAACCCAGTGCTTATAAGCGGGACGTTTCGCAAACCCACAACTGACTGTACCCGCCATTTTCATGGCGTCATGCAATTGCAACCAATGCTCATCTATACTTTTCGGTGGAATGGTAGCTAGACTAGAGGCTAGCTCGGTTCGATACTTACTTGCAACAGAAGTTGCAACCAGCTTGCTAACATCAATCCGTTGATGGCGGTCACTTCGTTGTATACTGAAAAGTAAGGTAAGATTGGCGCAGACCAAGGCATGGTCAGAGTCCAGATAGGTACTCCAAAAGGAGCGGCAGTCTTGTACACAACCACGCCAGGTGGAACTTCGGTGACGACTGTGCCGAAAGTTAGTGCTAGTCAGAAACAGGTTGTGGTCTATGCACAGTTGCAGTAGACGGTCCCCGTTATCTGACCTGCGACCAACGAGTCCCCACCGGCCACCTAAACGACTCTCTTCTGTGCCTAGACGCCCGACCTGAGCATTCAAGTCTCCGGCTAGTACTACAATATCTGTCGAACGCATTTTCTAGAGCAGACCAGTTAACTGGTGGTAGAATTCATCTTTGATTGCATCCGGGCTGCAATCTGTCGGGGCATAGGCAGAGATGACGAAAAGACATCGTTTCTCACGCCGATTTCTTCCCACTTTGATGGAACTTTCTAATCTAACAGCACATAACCGACTGTTAATGTGGATCCAATCGATTAGTGCTGCCTCAGCTTTGGCGCTTAGTGCGACAACAAGGCGAGCAAGACTATGCGAAGATGCCACAGGGTCCCCGGATAAACGCACGTAAAACAAGCCTTTTGAAGCGACAGATAGGTCTTTGCAAATGTTTTAAAGTTCTCGAGAAGAGGCCGATTACATTAGTAATGCTCATAATAATTATGTACCGTCTAAATAACCTTGAGATATAAAAAACTGCTGTTTATTATACAGGCTGACAGATGCTTATTTCAAGGTATTACTGAACATGGGTTCAAGTATGTCATCATGCCGGATGTACAAAACTTATAATATATTTTGATGCGTTTAGCACGAAGAAACCCCGTACCTCTTGATTATGATCAGTAAATTGTAAGCACACCCTTGCTTACATGGCCGTGATGTCATATGGGGTAAAAAATAATGTATGGACAATGAATTGATGAGAAATATTTTGTTCACAGTCTATGAACAAGTACGATATAAAGTGCTCTATGAAGCCTAAAATTTATAGATTTTGAACATAAACACCGGGTTAAACTGAACAAAGTTTTAGGGGCTTACCAAACACGTTCATTTACCAATGAACCTTTTACAGCAGTAAATCGATCAACCACATTATAATGACCTAAACCAGTCTGACCATCTGATCCAAGTCCACAGGAATAAACAACACCGTCTGAGCTGAGTAACAAGGTATGGTCTTGACCGCAAACTAACTATGAAAAACAGCAAAGTAAAATATGACGACCTTAGTAAATAATTTTCCGATGCTAGGTTAATTGCGACGTAGACAGTGATCATGAAAATATGGTAAGGAAAACATTTTGTTGGTTTTGTTCCCTGAGTTGGATGGTTTGGTCGTGGGGCTTTTATCGTTATTCTGAACGACATCAACAACGCAGACTTCAGGTAGAAGTGAAGTGTTCGAATTTCTCCACATATAGTTCACAGCTTGTCCTATAGACCTCGATCTTGATGATGTCGTTCAGAATAACGATGAAAGCTCCACAACCAAACCATCCAGCTCAGGGAACAAAACTCCACCAAAATCATCCACCTGAGCTACAAATCTTCTCCACCATAGGAAAAACATTGTTGGGTAGTTTTCTATTTATCGTGAATGCAACTGTTTGGTAGTTAACTAAAAGACCAAAGTTTAATATGTACTTCATATGAAATGTTAGCATAAAAATCTACAATTGTGAAGTAGTCGTTTACCCGTAATTCTCTTTTAGTAGCCCGTTGATCTGACTGCATTTAGATCGTACGAATGTTCGTTATCACCTATCCTCGTATACAATTATCGACTTAAATCACGTTAGTCAATAACGGAATTTAGATAAGTCAATTAACGAGAATGGCCTTTGAATACATATATTTTGTATGTAAAGCGAACGTGATAGAACAAAGCAAAATGACACGCAGGGGAAATGGCTGGTAAGCCAACTCATTTTTAGCCAGGTGTTACTCAATATTTATAGGCAGACAAAATAAACTACAGACATGTGATGAGACATGGGATATGTAGTGTGCACACATATACGCTCATATAAAAACAGTCAAGACTGATAAGCGAATAATTAATAGGGTCAAAATATGACTCAAGTAGAATGAATAGATTGGTTTGTCCAAAAACTAGAATAAGATGTATTATGGGTTTGAAATAATGACTGACACTACACTCTCTACTTCTCATTTGACATGAGGTTTTGTTTTATACACATCTTGGAGACTCAACTCAACCAAAGTATCGTTTTAAACAAGTTTATTTAGGACACACATTGAGGAAAGCGCCCAAATGCGTCACAAGGCAAGCCCTCACATGAAATCCTCAAGGCCAAGGTGAAGGAGGAAGACCAAAGAATAAATTACGCCGAGAAATGGAGAAAGACATGGGGAAAAAAATCGGATAGAACTGGAAAGGAAGGCCCAGGACAGAGTGGGTTGGAAAATGCTGGTCGGCGGCCTATGCTCCATTGGGAGTAACAGGCGTAAGTAATTTAGTGCTAAACAAATCTGAAGAGCTATACTGGAGTATCATCTTTATACAAGTTTTGGCTGACTGCATTAATTAAAGGCAAACTAAAGAGTGAAATAGGATGTATAAAACGACTGATTCAGTAAGCTAACAGTAAAAATAAGCATTATGACAGACGAAAACTGATTATTATCAAAACTACTAAAACTGACTACAAAGTCGAAACTATGAACAGAAATAAATGGAGACTAAGGTTAGCCAAATATGACCTAATAATTACATACAAATTCAAAGTGCAAACTAACTTATAAATTCCTCAACATACTTGTTTGATAGATTTTATTTCTGGTGGCAAGACTATTTTTGTTATAACTTCCACATCACGATCGTACTTTTCGCCAGGAATTATTTCTCTTCCACACTGCCCAAAAACATTGTTACCCAGGCTGAATACAAGAGGAGGTGTATCACTATTCGACTCTTTCAAATTTTCATAGGATATAATAGTATGTGCTCGACCACATGCCACATGAGAAGGACGATATATTTGTTTTTGCGTATTATCAAGACAGATAGCAATTCTCACAAGTTCAGGAACAACATTTACTGAGTTGCCTGTAGGAAGTTTGGTTTTTAATCCAACCGACTAAAATGAAAGGAAAATTCTTTAAATAATACTAAATCTTTACCATAGCCTGAAGTCAGTCAATATAATAATGCTCGTCTCTAGGTGTGAATGGAAACCCGTCGACCATAATTTAATAGTAAAAGTTCCCATTTGATTTTTAGGTTTTATCAGCTTCACGCAACGTAATAAAAGTGTTTCCTCCGTTTCGAAGTGACATAAATACTTGGGAAAGCATACAAAATTGAACCACAAGATCAGCTTGTGACCCTAAGTTTAAAATCTTACAAAGAATGTATGAAAACACTAAATCTATATCCCCTAGAATGTAAACAACTTAGGGGAAATCTCATGACTTCTATATCATAAACACTCCCAGACATCATGTGCAGCACTTAAATTGATTGCTAACATTGACCATGGAGGGAAGACCCGTGAGCTGGATTTCTAACGTACCGGGTTGGGATGTATCCATCTATTTCACTCTATAATTAGTCGTTTTAGAACTTACTACCTCAATCAAGAAATTTCGTCAGAATCTTTGAAGCGAAAGCTTAATAATTTCTGAAAGACTTAATGTGAGGTTTTACATAGTCTGACATAACAGCCCCCCACAAAATAGACTCGACGACGAACGCAAATAGACCATATCACCATCGGGGGTTGTTACAGAAGCTCAATGGAAGAGTGACGTTCATTCTAGAGCACGTCCGCAGACTATGGTCATACTTTTTGAGAGCGAGTTTATTTGAGTAAAAGTGGACACAGTAGAGGAACAGCAGAAATATTCCCTATAGCTCAGCCTAACGACGAGAAAGTCAAAACTATATTACAGGAACAACTAAAATAATTAATCATCAAAGTTGTGTTCACCTCAAGGTAGGTTGGTATAATATTCAAGCAGATTTAATGTTTGTCTTCTGCGTTGCGTAACTGACTGATACCGATTTACTGAGTATTTCTGCTTGTTTTCATATAACTAGGTCTTTACCTGGAGGTATCAATAATCAACTGATGCTAGACACGAAAGATCGTGAAGCCAAAGCTTTTTTTATTATAACTATGATCAACTGAAGTGGAAGTAATGAAACTCACTAATTACATTTAAGTCTTACACGAAACTTCATGCCTTACTTAGTCTGTAAATGTCAACTTCATTAAACGAGTGCACAAAAATTGATAGATGGAACTTTTTGAAAATCTAGCTTTTAAACTCATGAGTTACAGCTCTATTAGCGTACATTAATCTAAAAATGAATACTATAACGTCTTTAGCAAATGTCGTAGACGATAATTAATCCACAATCCGTTCTCTAAAATGATGACTCACTACATTGCAACCCGATAAAACTCTAATTAGGGATGCTATAAACAGAATCTTGGTCGATGGTTTGAGTGCTCACTAACAATGAAATTATAATTATTAGGACATGATTCAAGTGAGTGGTTATTTATCTTTAGTAATAAAGTGCTCCTTACAATCATTGAACAAATCAAAGTGATTTTACTAAATAGCTCAATGTTTTAGTAGTTTTAGGGGGAAACCTAAAAATATCAGTAAAACTCCGAGAAGATTGATTTGGAGTCAATAAATGTAAAATGCCAATAGACAGTGTGGCTTAATCTCAGTGAATTAATCATGCACAACGTAGAACCTCGTACATATATGCATCGGTTCAACTTGCCACACTATATTTGTATAATGTGACGAAAATGTCAAAAATCAAAGAGTAAACACAGACAATATGTTTCGGGAAATAATGAATTCGCGGGACCAAAAGGCATGAGGTGATTTTGGAACTCCACCTATCTTGTGATAGTAAATGTGGACAATGAAAATTCCCATACTAATAGTAATCCTGTGCTCACTAGTGACCAACTTCTGAATGGAATTCAAAGTTCGAATGATAAGCCATGCGGTTCAACCATGTCGAGTACAAGACAGTTATCCACAACTGGCAATGAAGGATGATCGTACGATACTGTGATATGATCGAAGTTAGATGTTCATCGTTAGGTTCTGGTTGTGACTAAGAGGTTAGGCGCTCGTGCGGTAAGTCGAATGTCCCGGGTTTGAAACCCTATGAAATTCGTGGGGGGGGGTTCTGTTGAAGAATCTCATACTAGGATGAAACAGCCATCCACTGCTTCCTGATTTTCAGTGACGGTCAAACTTAGAGTAGTTTGTGGAAACCTAATAATCTTGTCAGTCAGTCAACTACAACGTAGGACTAGGCATATATGCGTCGATCCAAGTTGCCATACCTTATTAGCACAACAAGATGGTTACCAAATTCACATAACTAGTTACTTCAATGACAGTAATATATAAAAGATTATGTATGAGGATATAATACAGGGAGAAAGAATTAGTTCGTAGAAAGAAAGGTATAAAGTGATTTTAATCTCTTAGTTTAAGGAAAGACGAAGAGTGTATACACCAATCCCACTGTGATCGGTTCTGAGCCATGTCACTCACAGTCTCCAACCATTGGTTACAATAGTCGCACGGATCCCGACTAAGTAGTCTTCATCTACCAACATGGCTCAGACTACAAGTTAGTGACTTCAAGCACTGATGCCACGTTTTGGTTTGGCCGCCCCTAAATTTTTTTCATCCGTTTCCAACACTAGTCAGCATTGCGCGTCATGGTAATCGGTGTTCAGGCATACGTGACACGTGGTCGAACCATCTTAGTCGTGAAAATTTACAGCCTCATCGACTGATTTACCATCATTCCCTAATACTTCGTGTCAAACCTCACTTCCCAGCAGATGCGAGCAATATTTCTAAGGCGTCTGTGGCCAAATACTGATAGCTTACAAGTATCTTCTACACTTAATGGCTACATTTCGCAGCCATAAAGTAAGACAGAACAAACTGCCGCGTAGTATACTCATCCCTTAATTGGTAGACGCACATCTCGCCTTCGCCATAGGTCACGTAAGTTGGCAAAAGTCAAACGAGCTTTTCGAATCCGTGCTGAGATTTCGTCAGACACCAACCCATTAGGACTGATCAGACTTCCAAGATAAATGAAGTTGTCAACGCGTTCGACTATTTCACTCCCCAACCTTAGTTCAGGTGTTTACGCAGGCCAGTCCTGAAGCAACAACTTGCATTTAGAGAGAGAGAAGAGCAACCCAAACATCCTGGCATTGTTGCTCAGTGCTACCGAAAAACTGCATTTTATCAGCGTCTTCACCAAACAGGACAATGTCATCTGCGTATTCTAAGTCGATAAGTGGACCTCCTGATAGGAAATCAATGCCCAAAAATTCAGTGGACGAAGACGCTGTTTCCAGCAGCAGGTCTATGATGAAGCTGAACGAAAATGGAGATGGTGTACAGCCTTGAAGGATGTCACTTGAAGCTGAAAAGCAAATGACAGTTCTCCATAAGCTCTGACTCGACTAGTAGTGTTCGAGTAAAGAGCCTCCACAAAGTTTATGTACTTCTGAGGTACGCCGCCATTCAATGACAGACAATGCCCGAGAACCTCTCGGTCTAAAGTCAAGAAAGACCACCATTATTGGACGCCGATAAGCATGCCTATGTTCTAGAACCTAACGAATGGTGAATGCGTGGTCGATGAATCCACGACCAAGTCTAAAGCCAGCCTGATTTTCTCGTGTTGGTAGTTCACGAATCTTTGTTAGGCGCCCGATAATTGTTGGGGCTAGTATTTTAGATGCTATGTTAATCAAACTAATCCCTTTATGTTATCACAGGGTGATTTTGATCCTCTCTTATATACTGGGACATTCAGTGATTGTGACCAGTCAGATGGGATTACGTCCAACTCCCGGATCTTAGCTAAAATATTAGTCAACCTAATCGCTAAAACTGGACCACCATACTTAGAGACCTCTGGAGCCAATCCATTTGGACCAGCCACTCTTCCTCGTTTCAGATTAGTTATAGCCTTTCGAAACCCAGCCAAGGTCGAGGGATCTAATAATTTTGTAGCAACCGCGTTCTAATTTCCGGACAGGTTAATCATTCACTTTTTTCTGGTTATTTTGTATACCGATTCTCCTGAACAGTGTTTAAAAGATATGAGCCAAATTCTTAAGTCAATGGTATAATTTCAATATGATTGGTTATTTCGTACTTACAATTTATTGTGAACTTTAATCAGTGCATACATATATGTATATGCTTGTTTGATAATCTCTGATTGGATTCAGACACTATATTTCGGTTTAGACATTTTTTTACACACACGTACGGTGATTTATACTTATATATTTAAATTTCATTCGTTCACCCATTCTATTTTCCTGATCGCTTTGCTTGAGGACAAGCTTGTTTGGAATATAACACAGCTAACAAAACTTTGCACTGCCGCTTATTTATTATTATACCAGAAGCAAACGTTACCACTGTGTTCAAGTCAACAAATCATACGTTGGTAACAAGGATCGAGCACGACACTTACAATCTCTACAAACCTCCTATGCTAGCAAAATGCATTGTGATGCTTCCAAAACCAGCTCAATAATATGGAGTACCCACATGCATCATAAATATTATGTAGAAAGGCGACATATTAAAAATCAATGGAGAACAATCATTCTAAGAAAATAATTAGATAGAAATGTGCAAATTATTGGTTATTTACAAATTCGTACACCCGGCTTTGAATCAAACGTAATATACATGGATACTAAAAAGAATGACTGATATTACGTACATCACTTAGCTGAACGCTTATTTATATCCATGAATTAGGTAGAAATGGGTATATGCTCAAGTACAACTCAGCCAGTTGATAAACCTGTGAAGAGCTGCCAGAAAATTCCGATAAACTTCCGAAACGAAATTTCGGTATACAACTAAAATGGTTACTCAACATGAATAACTGCATTTTCGAACAGACTTGCTACTAAAAAATGAGTTTTAAAAGTCCTTTACGGTGAGAAAGTGATAGGAAAGTGTAGGCCAAAATATGACCATCTGCTCTACGTAGTGTGGATTAGGTTAATCCTCCCATACTACGAATATCATAACCCATAAATACACATAAAAGAACTGAGAAGTGAATAGAAATGAATGTCTACTTCGCTTTCTCTGGTGTTCAGGCGCACTATTTTTGCAAGGCTCTTCTCTTTTCTTGAAGTGCCAAATGCATTTCTTCCATATGTTGGACGAGAATAATTTACTAACGTTAAGCAAACGGGAATAAACTAAAAAGTCATCGTTCCTAAAAGGCACTTAACAGTCAGAGCAGAATGACAAATAAATAGCGTTAATCTGATGAATAGTAGATAAAGACTGCAAAGATTCACAATGTGCCTCAACAAAGATGATTCACGGAAAAGTAATGTGCATCTAAGCTGTGACTACTGGTCATAATCAGACACTATGCTCTTGAATGACATTTTCAGTCGATTAAGAAAAAACGAACTAATAAGATCATAGTGACTAAATATAATGCTGTTCGTTGGCGAAAAGTCATCACTGGACGCTTAATAGTTTGCCAGTTCATCATATTTCGTTTAGGCTCTAAAAGCCTGATTTTTCACTTATGGAATCATGGATATTGCAAAATAGACAACCTGTGATCCTAATTGGCCATCACTGTTGATCCCACAGCCGTAGACGCCAAAATCCCCATGACTGCCTCTACATATATATGTTGTGAAGCCATATCCACAAGCAGCTTTTAACGGAACACCTAATGACGACGAACATTCCAAAGGCGTAGGCCGTGATACACCTCCAACACCAGGTTTACCTAATTACAATATCAGAAAGATTAACATAATAAGTACAAACCATGAAGACCAAGATATTTCTCATTACCGAGAGCTCCAGTTGCTGAGAAACCAAAAACGTAAACTTGCTTTGACTTCAAGGATTCCCTTGAATGGATATCATAAACTACAGAGTCTCTGCTTTTTTGTCGATGAAGTGATTTCTTAGATCCATGGGCCACACTCAGGGTCCAGAAAGAATTCTTCGAAACTACCGCGAGTAAAGGTCGAGTCATTTATACTTCGAGCCTCAAAATGTACCAGGTAGAAGTAGAGAACTGCTCGATTAGATCTTTATTTGCGTAATAAGAAATTATTCTTGGTTACAGAATGGTATTATTCTTTCTATATTGTATTAATTTTGATACCTATTACTCATATCTGAAATTTTAAATATGTACTTGTTCATTTTCTCCGTGTGCACCAGAATTGTATGAGTATGTTTTACACAACTCCATCAACTATTAGTTCTCTTTGTTCGACTGTTGGGCTTAGTTCGCTTGTTTTAGACCGTTATAACAAGCCAATTTATACTTCACCTTCTTGGTCGTTCTGATTTACGCATTCGGTGGTGACCGTTGTCTGCTTTCAGACGCCATTATATGTTGTGGACACAAAGTTTTCGTAGCAGATAATGTGATCAGAAATTGTGAGTCATGTGAACCTTCAAACTGGAGGGACTACTGGAAACTGGACTCTAGTAGTATCCAAAGTCGAAAAAGATTAGGAGTCCTGGTGCCCTACGATTTAAAGTCTTACGCTAACTCTGACAGAAATGCCTTTCGAGCAAACCTTGCACTGGTAACATTGAAGCGCATTTTTGGCCAGGTTGACAGTAGAACTTTCCATATAACCTTCAATAGTTTTATCCGTCCCCATTTAGAGGACGGGAACGTAGTATTACCTCTCTCACTCCAAAAGGACAAGGACACTCTGGAGCGTATCCGACGGCGAGCCACGAAATCAGTTAGAGGATACAAATTTAAACCTTATGAAGAGCGCCTTCAATCACCTAACCTTTACCCATTAGAGTATAGACGTCTTAGAGGTGACATTCTAATGGCTTACAGTATCCTTAACACTTCTGGACATCCTCTCAAACACCTACTTAAGCTTAGTTCCAACACTAACCTAAGGGGTAACACCCAAAAACGGGAGACACAACACAGCAGAACGGACTGTAGACACACTTTCTACTCCTTGAGAGTTGTCAAATGCTGGAATTCGATGCCGGCTGAGCTTACTCAAGAGACTCTCCAGGAGTCCTTTAAGAGGCAACTTGATTTATTCTTAAGGACTAAGGATAGTATGACACTATGATTTACCAATTTCTTTTTCCTCTTTTATTGCCAGCATACCTAGGTTCCTGCCTGGAGTTTGTGGTGATCTCTTGTGACTAGACACGGAAGCCTGTTAAACGAAAGCTTCTTCTATTCCGTCCACAACCATTTGGACCATTTGAACAAGAAACACTTAGAATAACGCCCCTCAGTGTCCACAGGACCTGGGTAAGAGTCGAGCCTTCTTTTGAATAATTTTACAGAGTATGCCATCCCTATAACTTCAGATGGAAGGCTTCGGAACTTGTTGATGCTGTGAGTGAAAAGTTTACGTGAAATTTCATACTGATCCTTCATCTCCTGTCCTCAACGAGTGTTTTCTTCAATCTATTTTAGTATTGAAAGTTGTAAGTAGTCTATTAGGGGTGAAGGTGACCATGGCCACATCCTTTGATCCGTCTGTACTCAATAGGTCGCAAATGTATAGCCTATATGCGATATCATACTGCTTTGTCTTTCATTAAGTGTAATTTTTTGGTTGCTCTTCTTTAAACTTGTAGACCGTAAATAAATCCATAAGATAAATAGTCTTTGAGTTTGATACTGACCTCAATAGTTTCGCTGTATACACTTAGCTAAGAGCGTTCGATTGCGCACCTGCATCAGATCACCAGTGGTTATGCCTTGATACGCATTTATTGCAATTAATAACCAGCATCAACCAAATGCTTCTCGGCATATCAGTAATTTTCCAGACACATCATTGAATTCCCTCGTTTCTGACTTCTGATGTGACTGAGTTTCTATAGTTGAAAAAGGCAGGGTATCAGAAGGACTTAGTATTCCCCATACACATCTGAAGATCATATACGGGTAGCAGAGTTTAGAAACTAAGAGCGAAAGTTGAGTCTTTAGTATTTAATGTAGTGAGTAGTCTAAACATCTAACCTATTTCTAGGAAATCGACTCTAATGAAATGTGCATCTCGGTCAACCTAAAATATTGTATTTAGGCTAATCGAGTTGAACCGAGAAGTGTTTTAGGCCGACTTTGTTCCATTCTGGTGAATTAAGAAACCTTGAAGTAACGTTGCTTGGTCGTCCATATAAGGATTATTCGGATGAACCACTTAATGTATTAGTCAGTGAACTGACTTATTTAACTTCAAATAGAGTACAATAAATAGGCATCCGAACATAAGCATTGATGAAACGGACATATAAAAAACATGAAATGAAATAAGCTGAACGCAGATAATACAGTTACAAAGATGTCTATAAGAACGTTTCGTGTGGTTAGGGGATCACAAGAGTACTCATATTGTGTTAGCAGTGCTGAAGTTTTAAGAAAAAAGATACTCACAAGTACCTTTTTTACCAACCCTTTTAGCTCGCTAGATTTCTATGTCCTTGAAAGTATTATATATATATGAAGTTGTGTCGACTCATGCTGTATTGCTTTTCCAACTTCGAATATAATGTTTTTAAAAGATCATCTCTCTATGTTAACACTTAAGTGTTGATGTGTTGTGTGTAAGTTGCTGTCATTGCTTACAAACAGAAGCTATCAAACTGAATATCGTAGGTCTCTAATAAACATTCAAAAAACAAGATATAACGCAAAATTTATAAGCAAATGACCAATAATAAGCTTTAAAATACTGTTTTGTAAACCTATCCTCCAGTTTCTAGGACCGAAGGCAAACGACTGCACGTAAAACCAAGTTATTATCAAAAGTAGCGTGATACAACTTCTTGGACCGGATAATAGCTGTATTTAGCCAGTAAGTTCTTGAAAAGTCCCAAAGCTAGTAATAGTAATCAACAAATTTGTTACTACTTATTGGTGTGCTCTTAAAGATATTACGGATATTCAAATCATGACAACTTTGTTGTCCGTGATCTCCTTTTAATCGTGAATTCCAAATTCAGTCAAACTAGAAGTCCGTTATGAATGTGTTCGAAGATATTTCTGGAACGTTTTGATATGTTAAGGATTGTTTGATCTAGGTTGTTGCGAGAAATGCATAGCGTGGCGCACCTTTACTATTATGGTCTATTTCGTTGTTGGTACTGCTCTAATAACAGACCTAATCCCAAATTGTAAATTCGTCATGATGTAATTCCCTAATCTATAAGATCTTACGTGAAAGTCACATCATTGTCCACACGAGCTTGTAGTGGCATCGAACAATAACCGCACAATCCAATAAGCTGAAATAGATATTCAATATTTAACGCGGATAAATACCTAACAATGGAGAAGGCGCGAAGAATGAATTGAATGGACTGGGTTTGATCGGATGGCATGGCTCGTCCATGCAGGCGTGGTCCATCTCAATGTTACTTTATATCTTCTATTCATATTAAATATATTGTTCTTTCTCTAGCCTAACCTTGTTCTACATCATGTATTGGTAATTGATACGATACAGTGAGTTGGTGTAGTCGATGGTGTGACTTCCACGTAAGATCTTATAGATTAGGCAGTTATATCATGACAAATCTACGAATTTAGGATTAGGTCTATTATTAGAGCAGTACTAATATCATAGTAGACCATAATTCTACAAGCTCATCGCATTGTAACAATCACCAATATATGACGGAGAACACATTTAAGCTGGAGATAGAACAATATATTTAGTACGAATAAAAGTGATGTTACATAAGTTATGGCCACATTTGCATGGCCGAGCCATGCCATCCGATAAATTCAATTTCGGATGAACGTTACTGGGCCCAATACTACTACATACCCAATGGCAATCTGCCACGAATGGGTGACCACACGCCTTCACACAGGGTTTATCCAGCAAAACGAGCTATGTCGGCATCAATATCGAAGACCTACATAACTTTGTCCAGGGGATTTATTTACCGTTACACTCCTATCAACCTTGTCCTGACCGTAGTGAACATATACACCGATCAACCTGAGAGCGAAGCAAAGGATTCAGGCAAAACGTATGAATAAGCATCACGAAATCTTACTTCAACATAAACTGAAAAACGTCAGTGGTTCCAAATTTCCGAACTCGTTTAAAGAAATTACACAAAACAATCAACAAGTTTAGTATGATTCATTTCTCATATGGTCTAATCAGCTCTATACAGACTCAGAATGAGATATATTCATATGATGCTAAAAGAACTGCTGAAAGCTTTCTGGTAGTCTGCTTGGCATTGTAAATCCAGTAGATAAACTATACTAATATTTTAGGACTCCTGTGAACCCGAGGTGATTACCTGCCCAGATCAACGAGTCTATGTAATATGTGTATTTGGAAATTAATGATCGTATTCTACTTATTGAATTCCATTATTCAGTAACGCGATCTAAGTCGATAGTTATATGCGAAGATTGAAGATACATATATTTCGACAGCAATCATTCATACGATCCAATTAGAATTAAACACCGAGCCACTAAAGGCCAGCTTTCTATTCCTTATTCGACATATTTCGTCTTGCTACTTGTCATACACTACTCGGGTTACAAAATTTAAGCCCGGGCGGTGTCTGGCTCTTCTGTTAAGCGGGATTGAGCAGTACTGTTTGGGTTGTTACGTGAAAGTCTGGATGGTGTCTGGTTCTCCTGAAAACCAATGTAGAATTACTCTGGCCCACAAGGGCATATTATATAACTATACTTGTCACACTTAGTTATTCTCCATTGATTTATTTTCTACAGACGATCACAATTTATCCTGATGATATCAGCTAGTATGATGTTTATTTTCTGACCAAGCATATCTTTTTCTGTTCTAGTGTATACGTTTAAGTATTCTCGGGAGTTCCTATCCAACTTCCTTGCCGCTTGTTCTTCATACTTCATTTTTTCAGTACTACGTTTACAGTACACAGCCATGGAGTTTCTTCTCATGTCCAGAACACAAACCTAACGTACGCCATTGTCGAAATCACTCCATGCCAAGCGCCTCTGCATCGTTAATC